CATATTTTAGACATTGTGACGCGAACGTACCCAGTAGGCGTAAACACCACGGTCTCGATAACAATGTGTTCCATTTCAATGGAAAAACACGATGTTTTACAATATATGCAGATCAGCGATTTCCTGGTTATGTATCTGGTACCTTTACTGATATTATGTGTTATGTATTTCATCATGATCTCGTCGCTTTGGTTCAGCGCATCTCCAAACAACGCATCTAAGAACAAGAAACGAAAAGCTGTGAAAATGCTCTCGTTTGTGGTGGTTCTGTTTGGCATAACTTGGTTTCCGTGGCGTTTCTTCTCCTTATATTTCGATTTCGCCGACCCTGACCTTATTCCAATCAGTATGTACGTATGGTCAGACGTCATAGCCGCGACTTGTATCGCAAGTTACCTTGCCAACAGTTGGGTTAATCCAATTGTATATGCCTACTTCAATGAGAATTTTAGAAAAGAATTCTACTGTTGTTTCCATGTCTCAAATGGAAGGATCAATCCAGAGTTGGGCCAAATCAGGGAACAATAAAAACCGTAACAGGCCGATCTATCGCTCATAACAACACGATAACTTGAATACGATTATAACACGTATACCATTATAGGGTGCGACATCACCGCAAATATACTAGAATTATGACAAATCTTAACTCAAGTAAATATATACACTTCGAAAAATTTAAAGAACGAGTCGATGTCTCAATAATCATATTAGAGTAGAATTACCCAGTGTTATATGGTACTTTCAGCAATACCAAAGTTATAATTTAAGCAGCACGAGGAACATAATACCAACATATCACGTATTAATGAGAATTCTTCATTTAGGTCACGGACAAATGTAGCCGTAAACTCACAACTCTGGCTCTGTAAATAATATCATTTGATAGACTTAAACAATAGGTTGAATAGAAGAGGTGGCTGAACAAATGTACGTTTTTACGTCGATAATAAATCCCGTGTGGTGTTATTTAAATGATTGTTTAGAATGATACCTCATTGTTATTGTTTTATTTGTTGTCGGAGACAATGATAAAACATTAAGATAAAATATTTACTAGAATTTAGACCTGGGAACAAATATATCATATGAGATGACTAATATTTTCAATATATAAAATTGGTAGTCAAACAATTAATGTCACTTTGAAAACAGACTCTCGTGATTACTGATGAAATTAAGTGATGGTTTGTTTGATTGTTTGTTGTTGTTGTTGTTGTTGTTGTTGTTGTTGTTGTTGTTGTTGTTGTTGTTTTTCATTTCGTTTCTTGATTCTACACAAAAGTTAACGTTCAAAAATCAACTTTAGTGATAACAACCCCTCAAAATGTAAAAATTGTATTCCTTTGAATAAATGTTTTGCACCAATCAGCTTTTTTTCTAGACGGGTTTTTCATCGATTGCATCAGAATTACCATTTTTGTATATTGTAGGATAGACGAAATATGAACATATCGAAATGATTCATTCTTGTGAAAGTGTGTTTGTTATAAAATGTAAAAATAAGTTTTGTAATATCATTTGATTCAGTGATGTAACGACAACAAGTCATCCCATATATATGTCAAATTTAACATTAAACTCTGGAATACTGTAATTGTGACCCCAAGCACTCGTCTAATGGAACATGAATGACTTCGATTTGTATATCCATATATCATTTTTGCCATTCGAACATGTATTGTTACAGTGATATGTGACATTGTTTTATGTTACTCTTCGTGGTTTGTAAATTCGATTTAGTGATATACCCTAGTTCTTCGTATACAGAAAGAAGCTTGTTACCGCGCATAGTGAACGTTTTTTACTTGTGTGTTGTTTAACATTGCGTTACATATTATCTTGATAATAGGTCAGCTAATAGGTAGTTATTAAAGAATCCGTCAAATAACTCGTTTCATAAATAGCAATTATTGTAACAAATATATTGTCTTGTATAGGCATTGTATCTTGAATAAATTGTCGTTGTGAATAATGTTTACTTATTAGCTCAGCTGTCGTCTTTGTCGTGCGGAGCTTATCATATGAGTGATTGTTCGTCGTCGTCCGTCGTCGTCGTCGTTCGTCGTCCGTCGTCGTCCGTGTCAATGTTTTACTTTTCCAACTTCTTCTTAAAAACTACAAGCCTGAATGCTTTGATACTTGGTGTATAGGTACCCTGGGCAGACCTCTTTTAGGTTTGTTTATTTCATGATGATGTCTTCAATTCTCTAATTTTGGTGAATATTTTTTTCAATTTTGGTAAAAAGTGATATTTTCGACTTCTTGTTAAAAACCGCAAGTTCAATTGCTTTGATATTACATATATAGGTACTACATAGGGACCTCTCTCAGATTTGTTCATTTCATATTAATATCTTTTTGATGAATATTTTGATGAATATTTTGGTAAAAAGTGATATTTTTAACTTCATGTTGAAAACCGCATGTCCGATTGCTTTTATTACATATATAGGTACTACTTTATTTTGATGATTATTTTTGTCATTTTTGGTGAAAAGTGATATTTTTGAATTCTTGTAACAGTTAAGTCCTGTTGCTTTGATACTATACATATTGTTCATTTCTAATGATATCTTCTGTTCTTTAATTGAAATGTGCATTGCTAACAGTGGAGCCTCTCAGTCGACAGGCTGCTTGAATTATTTGATTGGTGTGGTACGGTGACTTCCCTTCTATAATTCCATTATATGTGTCATATTACCATGTTAGTTGTTAGTTACCATGTTAGTTGATGGCTTATTTTATTTGTAGCTGTCAGTGTGGGTCGCAACTTATCTAATCAACTTATAATAATGTGACTTTATTACTGCCACTGGACGTCTGGGTCGTATTAATTGGAAAAAAAATATGTGTTGTATGTAATTATATATTTATTTTTGTGTCTGGAACCCATTTACACAATGAAATACACCTGTATTTGGCTGAAAAAAAGGACCACAACTGGGTTACCGCATTTTGGATACCCCAGTTGTGGCCGGTTTATTCAAAAACCCTAACTATTTGGGTAAAGTGAACAAAATGCTTGAATAAGCGAAAAAGTTATTGAAAAATCTTGAATACAATGTAACATATCAAGTTAATTGAATAAACAAAGTTTTTCTAAAATCCCTAACTCTTGACTAAAAGTAGCAAGTCAAGTTTGTTGAACAAATTACAAAGTTAACGTCACTGAGTGTGGGGCCAAATCATGCCACCAGACACACCTTGTGTCAGCCCCACACCAAAAAATAAAAATAAATTACATGCAAAAATGAGAAGATACCTAACACTCAGGGATGACATAAGGGCTGCCCATGCTAGCCCAACCAGAATATAGGGAAACAACTATTGCCCATGCTAGTTGCTTGACTAAAATGATTGGGCCAATGCTGATGTCAGTAATTCTGTCATATACCACTGAACATCTCCCATGCATCTTTTTGAATAGGGGTTGGCCACTGATCTGCCCATGGTGCCGGGATGTGTTTTGCCTTAAACCTGATGTTGCAACGGAGACAAATTAATACCATTTTTCTAACAAGCCTCATAATGTCCTTATCTTTACATGATTGCTTATTTATTATATGCACCACTGCAGCATTGTCTGACAGAAACAAAATTGCCTGGTTAGACATGTGCTCACCCCAGACCTCAATTGCCAGTACAATGGGAAGAGTTCCAAAAATGTTATGTCGTGTATAAAATTATTTGGCCAACTTCCATAAAACCAATGTTAGCCAAACAATGCTCCAAAACCAGTAGATACAGCTGCATCTGTTATCAGCTGGGGTGCCAAGTCTTCAGGAAACTGACTCATAATAAAGAAAGTTTTTCCATTGAAGTGCAGCAGGAAATCTTTCGAAACAAGTAGGTCTAATTTAGTACAGTGATTGATACGGCGATGATGATGAGGTTGAGTTAGACCCAAAGTCAAATCAATTAGGCGCCTTAAAAAGGCTCTCCCCGGGGTGACAACAGTAAAAGCAAAATTAAGCGTTCCGACCAAGGACTGGATTACTTTAAGAGTTGCCTTTTTGCGTCCCAGAAACTGCTGAACTAGAAATATGCAACGTTGTATTTTTTCAAGTGGGAGACGAGCTTTCATGAAAACAGTGTCTAATTCAATACCCGCAAAGCACAAAACAGTAGCAGGGCCCTCCCAAATCATTACATAGACTAAAACAATCATCAAGATTCTTTTTACAGTAATAAAAGTCCCTGTTAACAAACAAAAAATCATCCAAAATATGTAGAACTGCTCTTGCATGCTTTGACTGTCCAGTCATCCATTCCAAAGCAGTGCTAAAAGCTTCGAAGATTCTGCAGGATGCTGCACACGCCATTAGTAAACATTTATCATAATAGAAGAGACCTAGCCACTTAAACCCCAGCAAATTATAATCAGATGGTACCACTGGGGTAATTCTGAATGCAGAGCGAATATCTGTTTTGGCCAAGTAGCAGCCCTCACCAAATTGTATAATTGCCTGAACCGCGTCATCCACTTGTGCATACTTAACTGTAGTTAGCTCAGGTGGAATGCCATCATTAATGGAGTTACCCTGTGGCCAAGACAAATGATGAATTAGTCTAAATTCACCTGGTACCTTCTTAGGAACAACACCCAATGGTGAACAATGAAAATTATTAAAGGTTTTTCGGAAATGGTCCAGCAATCCTGCCTGCAGATAATTCTTTCTGCAATTTTTTGTCAACAACCCCTGGTTGTTCAACAGCGAATCAAACGTTATGTTATTCCCAGAAAATCCAATAGAAAAACCACAACTAAAACCATTAATAAGGTATTGAGCCAGAATAGGGTCATAGACAGATAACCTTAGTTATAACTGCTCAATATTTATTGGGGTGGGTAATAGACTTATAGGGAAACCTGGGGTTGATTGAGCTATATCCAACACCAGGTCAATTTGGTAAATCCTGTTTGCGGGTTTTGCATTCCAAACCTGGGTGTGATCCAGAGCACCAGTAACATTTGTGAGGGTAGTTGCATCCGGAACATGGCTTTCCCCTCTGGTACTTGTAACATGCTCCTCTTGGAAAGAAGTGCTGGGAACGAAAGGACTGAAAACTGTTTGGGAAAGACTGGCGAGGAGATTGTTTTGCTCTCAAATACAACTCAATGTGCAACTGACCCCAAGGTAAGGCTGCCTGTTGATGTAATTTGTGAAAAATCGTGTCATAGTACTTCCAATCCCCTCCTCCAGTTGCTATTTCCCTGACAGTATCCATGTATTTCATAAGACCAGGTGTATCAGAATTAAAATTAGCTGAATAAATTGCTATGAAAATTTGAAAAGCAGATGACCATTTTGCAATTGAGTCAATGGGTATCTGTTTTTCAGTAGGAATCAGGCGGAAAGATGGACTGTCACTCTGAGAAGGGTTCATAACTGATAATGTATACTGTTCCTTGTCAAATTTTGACAACAAACTACCCAAATCAACAAACTCATTACACCAAATTTTGTTTTTAACTTTGTCTGGCACCCAAGCGCCTAATGGAACAGTTACACTTGTAAAATGACTAACTTTCCCTCCTTCCACCTGCTCCTGTACCGAAATTGTGGACATGAACCTGTTATTTCGTTAACTGTATTCAGAACAGCATTTTCAACCACTGTTGTAGTAGCTGGGATGCTCGTACAAGTTGTTGATGTTGCAATAACCGATTCCCTGAGTGTGTTAGCTTGACTTGTTTGCATCGAGTTTGCTAGGTTGGTAAATGTCTCAATACCCTGTAATGCTAAAGTAGACTGTTGAATAAGTGCTGCTGTTTTCTGCTAATGCTTTGTGATGTGCTTGGTTGACTCACTGGTACACTA